TAGCAAACTGAATCCGGGAAAGGAAGACACCCAAGGAGCCAGGAGGCAGTGTACAACTCTTTTATTACATCAACCGACCTCACTGGGATTGTTCCCAAAGAAGTCAAACCCAGAATATCAGCAGGCCAGCTGTTTTATAGAGTTGCAAGCAGGAGGTACAGATCCAGAAGCAGTTTACACAAAACAACAGCAGAGGGGGACAGAGCAAAGTGTTCTAGCAGGACTTTCTGAGTTCATTATGCTCCTGTGGTGACAAATTACAGAAGTTGTCATGGCTACTCGGGTACATTCTACAAAGAGCATAGTTACCCAGTTAACCCATAGTTACTTAATAACACAGTTAACTCGGGCCAGGGATTTGGCTCAGTGGTTTCGCCTGCTGCACAAGCACAAGGACCCGAGTTTGATCCCTGGTACCCAAAAAAAAAAAAAACCACAGTTAAGTCATAGTTGTCCAATTTTGTTATTTTGTTAGAAATATATCCATTTGCCTAGAAATTCTCTTTTATACTCAATATCGGATTGGGGATAGCTTAGTGTTAGAGAGCTTGCTAATATATGTAAGGCTCTGCTTACTACTGCTAGCACCACAAATTTTTAAAAAAAGAAAAGAATTACTAAGTACGCATGCCACCCTCATTGTATTTCTGAGAATCAGCTCTTCGGTGAGTTCCGTGAGGCTAAGGGATGGGTGGAAATTCAGAGATGGGGGTGAAACTCACACAGTGAGTGGCGTGATGTGGACTGGGACAGAACGCCTGAGGTGGGAGGGGCTGCAGTGATCTGAGAGAGGTTGGTGGGTGTGGGCGAGCTGCCCTCCCCAGCCGCGGGAGCGCTGCAGGTAGTGCCGCACTGCGGGCGGGGCTCTGTTTCTCCACCTCACCGCACACACTCAGTTGCTCACTGTAGTTGGGTCTATTTGGTTTTTATGTATGCATATTATACAAATATTTATAAAAATGTATAGTTACTGTGGTTATTACTAATAATTATTATCCCCAGAGGGTAAATTCAAGTACAGACAGTTAAAATATGGTAAAATCACACTTTGAACTTAAATCTATCTGATGCCAAACCCTGTGCTCCAAATACTTTAAATATACAAATAGATTTGGTCTCATTATGAAGCAAAAACAGTTAATGATCTTATTGAAAATATTTATTATCATTTCTGTGCAATTCCTTTCAGTAATCCCCATATTTGTAGTACCAGGGAAGTACGAAGTCTCACACGTGCTAGGCAAGTGCTATAACACTGAACTACAACCCTAGCTCCCCAAATTTCATATTAGTAATCATTATATGACTATTATGTTTGTTTACTACTCAGTTTCTCTATTGTCTTCATATCTTGGGTCATGAGTGTTTTATTTTTTGCCATTTGTCTACGATGAACACAAAGGGCATTTCATTTCTCTGGAAAAGAAATTGCTGGATTAAAAGGTATGAACATTTTTTTGACCCTAGATGCATATAGTTAGGATTAATGTTTTTCTCTATAGGTGAAATGGCCATGTTTCCTAACATTTAGAGGGAAAACATGAATCTGGAATTCTGTATTGATACTAAAAATTATATTCATTTGCTTTTTGGGGGATGTTTGTGGTATTGGGAATTGAGCTGAAAGGATTCATACTGGACTACATCGCCAGCCCTTTTTTTCTTTTTCGTTTTTGAGACAAGTACTGCCTAAATTGCCCAGGCTGGCCTCTAATTTGGACTCCTCCCTCACTCTCCCACAGAGCGGAAATTACAGGCTTGTGCACACACTCCATTTGGTATAACTCCTTTAAGTCTTCTAAACCTTACCTTTTTAGGAATTTTGATCATAGTATGTGTTCAATTTCATGTTGCCTGTTTTTACATACAATGTCATACAGTTTAGGCCTAATTCATTCCTGTCTTTTCCTCTCCTCTCCTGTACTAGGGATCAAACCCAGTACCTTGTTTTACTTTTTTTTTTTTTTTTTTGGTACCGGGGATTGAACTCAGGACCTTGTGCTTGCAAGGCAGGCACAGTGCCACTGAACTAAATCCCCTGCCCGCAAACCCAGAGGCTTGTACATACCAATGAACTATGTCCCCAGCCCTTCCTCATTCTTAAAAAACTATAAAGATATTTCTTTTATCTCACTGAGGTACATCTCCAGCCCTTTTAAAATTTGTATTTTGAGACAGTCTTGCCAAATTGCCTGGGCTGGCCTCAAACTTTTGTTCTGCTTCAGCCTCCTAAGTAGCTGGGATTAGAGGCTTGGGCCATCATGCTGGGTTTAAATTCCTTTTATAATTAACTCTGAACTCTGACATTAGGGAGCCCAACGTGAGGAGAATGAAAAAGGAAATGAATCAGGGAAAAGTCATTTCTAAAGAATTTGAGCTGGGCATTGGCACCCTTGTAATCCCAGCACTAGAGGCTAAGGCAGGATTCAAGGCCAACCTGGGCTACATAGTGAGTTCAAAGGCAGCCTGAAATATATAAGAAGACCCTGTCTTAAAAAAACTAAGCAAGAGGGGGGCCAGGGATTTAGCTCAGTGGTTCCCCCACCTACCTCAAAAGCACAAGGTCCCCAGTTTGATCCCCAGTACCAAAAAAATAAAAAAATAAACCAAGCAACCAAAGAAAACCCAAGAATTTGAGAAAGGAGGAATGGTGAGGCATGCCTGTAATCCCAGTACTCAAGAGGCTGAAGCAAGAAGCTCTTGAGTATGAGGTCAAGCTGCATGAAAAGGGAGACCCTGTCTCACACACACACTTGAAATATTTATCATTTGGCACCTGTATTCCCCTAAAATATTTATGCAGCCCTTAAAATGACTAGAGTGGGCTGTGACGGTACACACCTATAATCCCAGCTACTTGGCAGGTTGAGGCAAGGGAATACCTGAGTACAAGAAAAAAGAAAAAAAAAAAGCAGGTGTAAAGTAGAAATTTACCCTATCACAAACATGCACCTATAAAGTCTGTTGTTTGTAGTTATATGAAAAGGTAATTAATTGGAAGAAACAATATTGATTACATAAATTATCTATAACCATTATGTAGCCAAAAAAAACAAAAAGGAAAAGTTATATTAAAAACAAGAAAGTGACATGTGAGCCAGGCATGGTGGACTGCTGTGAGTTCCAGGCCAAGCCTGGGCTACATAGTGAGTTCAAGGTCAGTCTGAAACACACACACACACACACACAAAACAAAAGCCAAAAAAATAAAACAAAACAAAAAAAGGCATGTGAAGCACACTCCTTTAAAAAGAAAAATACATGCTGTCAAAAACTGGCTTCACTACATGCTATCAGTGTGACTGACAATTCTGTGGTGGTTTGTCTCTTAATAAATTGAAAGCAAACATCTCCATGCTGTTTACGAGTCTGGAGATTGAATCCAGGGACACTCTCACTGAGCTACATCCTGAGGTAGGCCTTGCTTCCTTTTTTTTTTTTTTTTTTAAATCTTCACAGCAGCTTGTAAAGTTCTCTCAAACTGGGCCTGAATTTGTGATCCTCTTGTCTCATCCTTCCAGAGTGCTGAGATTTTAGGTCTCCATACCCTGCTCTCTGTTACATTTTATTTTGAGAGGATCTCACGAACTGTCTGTCCCAGGCTAGTCTTGAACTTGTCATCCTCCTTCGTCTCCCAGATAGCTGAGATTACAGGCCTGTGCCGCCCCCAGTTTAACTGTGGAAATTTTTCTGTCATTCGTAAATGATCTAAAGTGACTTTTGTAAGTATTGTTCTAAAAAAAACTCCTCCAAACATATTAAACAGAACAAAGGTTTTCCGAAGAAAATAACGGAGAGCAAAAGGGAAATACGGCCAACACCTTTGATAGTACACAGGGTTGCTGCAAACGGAATTGTTCTGCCCGGAGCTTTAGCCAGTACGGCAGAAAGGAAAACGCAGCGTGTCCTCCTCTCTTAGTAAAAAGAGAGGACACGTTCTCGGTTTGTTAGCAGATACGCGACGGACGCTGTTCCCCTGGCGTCGGAACCTGCCGGTTTGAATCCCGGCGAAGGCGGCCGTCCCGCGGCCGCAGGGCGCAGGCGTTCAGCCCTCACCGAAACCTGGGCGGGCGGGCGGATTGTTCCCCCGTTACACTTTAGGGAAATGGAGACGGACTGTGAGGATCGACCGCCGGGTGCGTGGAGGAGGCAGCGATTCGGACCTGGCCCAACCCGCTCGGCCGCCTTCCGCCGCGTCGCCCCGAAGCCACGGACCCAGCCCCCGCAGCGCCACCGCGCGCGGCTGAGACCCGTGCCGAGAAAGCCGCACCGCACCGTGGGCTTCGGCGGCCCGAGCCGCGGGGTCGGGCCGTCCGGGAGGGAAGCGCGGGAAGAAGCGGTGACGCCGCGGTGGACGTCGCCGCGAGAGGCGGGAGCATGTAGATGAGGCGCGGTGCTTGCCGGTTCCAGCGCGTTGTTGCCGCCGCCGAGTTCCCCGGGCGGGTCCCCCCGAGAAAGGCGTGTGAGGGGTGTCGTTGGGGAGCGTGAGGTTTGGAAAGGAGGGGGCGAAGGCGTGGGCGTGTGAGTGACCGTGCGTAGGTAATGAGTGTGAGCGGCAGGTGAGATGGCGCGCGCGCCGCGGCGTTCATACTTACCTGATCGGGGAGATACCGTGATCACGAAGGTGGTGTTCCCAGGGCGAGGTTTATTCGTTGTACTCGGGATGTGTTGGTCTCTGCGATTTCCCCAAATGTGGGAAGTTTGACTGCATAATTTGTGGTAGTGGGGGACTGCGTTCGCGCTTTCCCCTGGCTTGATGTGATAGTAACATAAAAATATGATTGTACGTGGTTAAATTTTTGTTGTACTTATTAAAATTTATCTTTAGAGAGGGCTTTTTTTTCTGTAGCATTTTGGTATCGCGGATTAATTTTCAATTTTCTGCTTGTAAAGCGTGTGGTAGAATTTTTCAGCTAAGTGTTTATTTTTTTTGGCTTTAGTTTATGGACAGTGCTTTTATGTTACTTGTGTTTTGGAAACTTTTCGTTTTAGAATTCTATTTGCAAAAGAAGAAGCAAAATCGGTGAAGTAAGTTTCACGTCTATGTTAAATATTTCTTGAAGACTTCCCTTTTTGAACACCTATGAAGTGATACTAGGCGTGTTGATAAATTTTGTGTTCAGTGGCTCACTGAGGGCACCTTGCAATCGTACTGGAATTACAGGATTGTACCACTGCATTCCGCTTTCCTAATTTTTTGTGTGTGATGTTACATATTTCTTATTTTACTTTTCTCTAGTCTTCTTTGTCGTCTCAGGAGTTGGTGGTAAATATATTTAGTTCGTCAGTTGGAGGGGCACACCTGAGAAGGTAAATGTTAATTTCGCAGTGTTTTTCGGTACAGTTGGCTCTGTATGTTCGTGGAGTGTGTGTACATTCTTGCACTCAACTGATCTCATGTTAGAATTTTTTTGTTGTTTTTGTTTTGGGTGGTGGGTGCTTGAGATTGAAACTAGGGCCTTCCACAAGTATTCTACCACTGACCTGCACTCCCAACCCTTTTTGAAAATTTTGAGACAGCATCTCATTCAGTTCCCCAGTTTAGCTTTGAACTTTTTATTCTCCTCTCTCAACCTCCCACGTAGCAGTACTTTGGACGTGTCTGGGAATGGGTGGTGCATGTTTGTAATCCTACCACTTCAGGCAGATAGGGTATTTGCTATGACCTTGTCTCAAAAGAGTAGATAAGTATAGAAAAAGGTAGTGAGACATGTCTCAAAAAAAGTGTAATGGGAGAATATAAATAAGATTACACCAGTACCCATCCCCCTTTATATAGGGGAGTTGAGCGTCTGGATTTTGGTGTCTGAGGGAGTCTTTGAGCCATTTAGGGACAACTGTATTTATGAAGGTGGTCAGCTTTCCACATGTGAGAGAATCTTGCCTCTGTGTCTCTGGTTCAATTAGTTTTTCTTTTTTGAAACAGGATGTCTCGGGCTGTTCGTCTTTCAGTCCCTTGTCCTGTTCGGCTTGGTACCTTAAGGAATGACTCCTTGGAAGCTCAACTTCATGAGTATGTCAAACAAGGCAACTATGTGAAAGTAAAGAAAATTCTCAAGAAAGGTAAGTATGTGTTAAGGTGACAGGTGCAGCTGAATCCAGTTTTCTGGATAGCAGTTGGAAAAAAACTAGGAACATGATAAAACTATGAATAAGTTCTTGAGAAGTTCTGAAAGTTAAATATAAATGTGAAATGTTCCCTAGCAGTACATAGTGATTAGTAGAGGCCTTACTTAAAGTAAATATCCATTTGAGCACTATGTTCTTTTGTGCTAGGGAACCACTTGGTCTTCTATCCAGTAAGCTTCCTAAGGTGCCCCCCCCAACCTGCCGAGGCTGCTCCCCTTTGATTTTGTCTGATTCCCTTTTGTCTTTCAGATAAGCTCCATCCTTTGAGTCATCCAAGACTTCTGCTTGCCTGAGAGGTCAACTTTAATAGTTATCCCCTTTCTTGCTCTTCCACTTGGTGCTTTTGTTTCCAGGAATTTGTTGTTGGAAGGCATGTGCAGCTCAGCAAGTAGACAGAAACAGCAGGCAGTGCTCAAAAGAATGAGCAAACAAAAACCCAGAAACAAATAAAACCTCTGCAGGGCCAGGGGTTTAACTCAGTGGTTCCACCGCCTGCCTCGAAAGCACAAGAACTCGAGTTCGATCCCCGGTGCCAAAAACACAAACAAATAAAACCTCTGCTCTAGAGGTCCAGGGCTCTTGTTGGAGTGGGGTCTAACTTTCCCACCAAACAATACCGTCAAAAAGATTGAATCCAGGGCCAGATGTGGCACACACCTGTGATCCCAACACTTGGGAGGCTAAGATAGGAAGATCCGCTGTGAGTGAGTTCAAGGGCACCCTGGGCTACATATCGAGACTCGCTCTTAACACAAGATCGAATGGAGGGGCTCAGGTGTGTTGGGCAAGTGCTGTACCACCACTGAGCTCTATCCCCAACCCTTTTTAATTTTGAGACAGGGTCCTGCTAAGTGGTCCAGGCTGGCCTTGAACCTGGAATCCTTCTGCCTCAGTTTCTAGTGTTGCTAGGATTATAGGGATGTGCCAATACATCCTCCACAAAATCTCACACTTCGCCACATGCCATGCTTACTGTCTATAGGTGAAGTATCTACAGAGAACTCAATATTTTTGAAAGATCCCAAGTTTTTTTCTCCTCAAAAATTTGCATCTTACTCTAAAACATATCCCTAACATAGGGACAACTGTATGTATTAACAAAAATTTTGATGTTCAAGGTAGGTAGGTTATACTTTTAGTGCTTGTCTGTCTACAACCTCCAATGTGAGAAGCAGAGTATTACGACTTTTTAAAAAAATATCCAAAGCATCTCCTGAGCATTCTGCATCTTTAAATTCTTTTTTTTTTTTTTTTGGTACCAGGGATCAAACTCAGGAACTTGTGCTTGCAAGGCAGGCACGGGACCACTGAGTTAAATCCCTGGCCTGCATCTTTAAATTATTGAGGTACAGCTGGAGTATGGAATGGGATTACTAGGTGTAGCTGGATATGTAGCAGGATTTCATTGTGTCTGGATTCTTCAAAATTCTCAGAGTTAGATGCCTTGTCTAAAGCCTTGACATGGAGAACAGAGATGATACATTCCCTCTCTGTATTAGACTGTCTAATACAGTTCTAATGAGATGGCTAAAAGGGTCCTTGAACTACCTGGATCTATCTAAAAGGAAGCAGTGGGTGGGGTGAGGTGGGGAGGGGTGTCTGGATTCTTTAAAAGAGTGCCCTGGCTTTTTTTCCCCTTTTCTGCCTCAGAACAAGTAAGAAGCCTTCCAGGGCTGAGAACACAGCTCAGTGGTAGAGTGCTTGTCTGGATTGCATGAAGCCCACTGAGCTAAATCCCCAACCCTGTCTTTTTCTTTTCTTTTTTTTTTTCTTTTTTTTTGAGACAGGGTCTCACTATGTAGTTCAGGCTGGCCTTGAAGTCATGACAATCCTCCTGCCTCAGCCTCCTGACTGTTGGGATAACAGGTGTGTGCCACCACACTCCGCAACCCAGTTTTTTAAAAAAGTATTTATTTCACCATGATTTTTGAAGGATATATTCATTGAATATAGAATTCTAGGTTAAACTGTCTTTACCTCTATAGTTTCTCACAAGAAGTCATGTGTTATCCAAATCATCATTCATGGGCCGGGGATTTAGCTCAGCGGTTCAGGCTCCTGCCTCACAAGCACAAGGTGGTCCAGAGTTCGATCCCCAGTACCAAAAAAATGAAAACCAAATCATTGTTCTTTTTTTTTTTTTTTTAAATTGTTGTTCACTATGTAGTAGGTTATTAGTGTCTGGCTTCCATCAAGAACTTCTCTTTGTTTTTTAGTGGTTTCATTATCATGTACCTAAGAGTGGTTTTCTTTATATTTATCCTGCCTCTGGTTTGCTGATCTTGAATATTGTATAGAAATTAGTATTTTCCAAATTTGGGGACCATTCTGCCATTATTATTTTTTTCCCATTAAGTTTATTGGTACATTTTAGGTATAAAACACAGTTACATTCATCATTGGGATCTTGTACCATTGCATGAGTATCTTGGTTCTTTTTTTT